TGGGGAAGCCGGATCCAAACGCCGCGCAGCTATTGGCTGAGAGGGTTCAGCCGCCGAACCAATCAGCGTACGTGGTTTGGATCCGGCCCGGCGGAGCACTTTCCCCGCTCTCCCTCCTGCAGGGCTGCTCTTTATTACCCCCTGGAACCACGGTTTTGGGGGCAGACTGGGGGATTTTGGGCTCAGTTTGTGGGGGTTTGGGGCTATGGGGTATTTCGGGCTCTGGGGGATTTCAGGCTCAGTTTGGAGGGGTTTTGTGCTCAGTTTGTGGCGTTTAGGGTCAGTTTGGGCGATTTTGGTCTCAGTTTGAGTTATTTTGGGCTCAATTTGGGTGATTCTGGGCTTAGTTTGGGCGATTTCGGGCTCAGTTTGGGTGATTTTGTGTGAATACAGTGTTCCCACAGGAGAATGGATAATTGGTACATGAACGCTGAATAATCCCTATAGGTACAGCAAGGCCATGAGAGGCCTGAGGAAGCTGAAGCAAGCAAGATAAGAAGCAGCTGGAATTCATTGAGTTATGAGAACTGTGGGCTGTTGGCAAGCTTTCGAGGTCAAGTTCTCACACCTGTACTTAACCAATTATATGCTAGTTCCTAAGTGTCTTCATGACATGTATCCAATCATAATATGCCAAATCACTGTAAGTGCCTGTAAGAAATGGTATATAAGGAGTTCAAGCTTTGTATTAAATTGCCATTCACTGATCACATTGATCGTTCCTGCGTTGTCCATGACTCCCGCATCGATAGCCAGGAGGGCAACCTGGTGCTGGGCATCTTCAGCACACAGTCAGCTTTACAATGGTGCTGTCGCCTCTCGATTCCATACCTTTCCCTCCTGGCTCTTTGGCTGTGGGAGCAGAGGCCAGGCATTCGTGCTCTACTCACTGTGCTGCTGGGCAGCCTGGAGCCACCACCGCAGAGGTTCCATTCAAATGGACTTTTAGGCATGAAATCGAGGAGCGACAGCAATGATGGTGACAGCATTGCAAAGCTGACTGTGATGCGGACTATTGTACAAGGGGGGTTAGGTAAATTGTACAGGGGGGCTGTACAGGGGGGTATGTTATAAAAATTTAGCATAGACAGGGTTTTGGTCCAAATTTAATTTATTTACAATTTATTGAGAGGCAATAAGCAAGCAGCGCTGGGTGCGCAGGGGAGCCTTCACTCCACCAGCAACGCACACCGTCTCTTTTGGGTTTTACTCTTTTATACATTATCACATCTGGTATCTGTGCTCTTTACATCCTGCATACGTATCCTGTTGGGGTATTGTCTGAGTCTATGGTATCCTGTTGTTAGGGTCCTTGTTCTGTTTTCTTGCTTATTCTGCTTTCTTGAAGATTGCTGAATCATAAGTTCTTCATTCTTCTTCCTTATCTCGTGACCTTTGAGTGACAAATCATCCCTTTGCAAAGAGCTCAATTTGTATAAGCATTGTTGGCACTACCGGACATCTGTTATTTGCTTAAGACTTAGTTCCTATATATTGTGATTAGAATCTTGCATAAGCATATATTGGGCAGTTACAGCTGTTTCCCTTTAGGCAATATTCTAAAGTTTACAAAGTGTTCAGAATTTTACAATATAATTCTTATGGCACTTAACTAATGTAAAAAAATGATTATTACATTATTTCTTCTTTCTTCTTATACCAAGTGCAATGGTTACAAGGGTTTCTAAGCTGCTGGCACGAATCATAATTGTATCCCTTACAGGTATTGCTTAAGTTACATGGCTTACTCAACAGATATATTGCTCAGCAAATACCTATTGTGCCTTACCATGCAGTACCAGAACATAACATCCTGATAAGGAAAAATATTCCAATTTATATAAAGGTTGATGCGAGGGGTTAACCGATGCAAGACAGTTAGGGTTAAGGAATGATTTATTAGGGGCTGCAGCTGTTTGCTAAACAATGTATACTGCCTGCTTAATATTTATTGTGCTTGCCAAAGCAGGATGGGAGGAAGGGACTGTAAGGTGGTTCCTGCCCTCTGGACCCCTAAACCAGATGAGAACAGCTTTTCGGTTTGCCTATGACCAGAGGGGGCACTGCGCATGTGCATAGGAACTTTGAGCTCATTATAATACGAAGCGGGGTTAGGATATGAATATGTATAGGTGTACTGTATAACTTAATGCATATGTAGTACTTTAGAGGATAAATATAGAGGAGAACAACGCTGGGGTGCGCATGCTTTTGGAGGAGTAACCCCCCATGCGCCTCAGCTGAATAAAGGCATACATACTTTACAACTTTAGCGAGTTGTGGAGTCTGTCTGCTTATCATCCGTGACTCCCGCGTCGACAGCCAGGAGGGAAATCTGGTGCTGGGAATGTTCAGCACACAGTCAGCTTTGCAACGCTGCCACCATCATTGCTGTCGCTCCTCGATTTCATACCTAAAAGTCCGGTTTTCGGAGCAACCCTGCTCATGCAAATACAACGGCTCCAGAATGAAGGTTCTGATTGGTCAGTTAGTGCCGTCC